GAACCCTAAAAGGAATCCCGCCAGCAGGAACACTAAAAGGCGCCAGCAGGAACCCTAAAAGACATCCCGGCGGCAGGAACCCTAAAAGCCAAAAAACCAAAGCCCAAAGCCAAAAGCCAAAACCAAAAGCCAAAACCAAAAGCCAAAAACCAAATCCAAAAGCCAAAGCCAAAAGCCAAAACCTAAATCCTAAACCAAAACCTAAACCTAAAAACCCTAAGCCTAAATCCTAAACCTAAACCCTAAACCTAAAAAACCTTAAACCTATAAACCGTAAAACCTCAAAACCCTAAACCCAAACCCTAAGCCTAATTCCTAAACCTAACAATCCTAAACCTAAAAAACCTTAAACCTATAAACCGTAAACCTAAAAATCCTAAACCCAAATCCTAAACCTAAAAACCTTAAACCTAAAAAGCCTAAGCCTAAATCCTAAACCAAATTCCTAAACCTAAGTCTTCAACCTAAATCGTAGACCTCAAAACCCTAAACCTAAATCCTAAACCTAAATCCGAAACCTAAACCCTAAACCTAAAACTTCTATACCTAAAAACCCTAAGCCTAAATCCTAAACCTAAATCCTAAACCTAAAAACCATAAACCCAAACCCTAAACCTAGCTCCTAAACCTGAAAACCCTAAAGCTAAAAACCCTAAACCTAAATCCTAAACCTAAAGCCTAAACCTAAATCCCAGACCTAAACCCGTGACCCCCCAAAAAGAGCAAAAGCAACCTGAGAACGCCAAAAGCAGGAAAAGCAACCAACAAGGTCTGGAAGCCGCCTCAGGTCCATTTCGCTTGTGAGAGACTTTCTGCTGCCGCACATGGTTTTTCCAAAGGACATGTCGCAGATGACCCGATGCTGCTTGCTACTTTCATGATCCTCCGAGCGGTGTTTGCCCCAGTCTACTTGGCATAAGCTCCTTCGACCCTCGCAGTTCCCGGAAGGCGATTGCCTTGCGCAGTCTCTATGAGGGCTCGCAGACTGTGATGTGGTGTGGCACTCGGAGCTGAAGGATCCGTTTTTTTTTTGTTTTGTTTTTTTTTCTCCCCCTTTTTTTTTCTTTTTTTCTTTTTTCTCTTTCTTCTTATTTTTATTTATTTGTTCATTTTCATTTTTTTTTCTTAAACGCATGAGCTGTGCCAGGCAAGGCATTGCTTTTGCCTGCGCCACACGTTTCATTGCAAATGCTTCGGTTGCGACCTCAGTTTGTGGTTCCAGTTCTCGTTCAAACCCGCGAGATGCACGTTCGTGCAAATCCCAGGATTCAGAGCTGGAGCTCGCATTCTCAGGCAAGTTGGTACACAAAGAATGGCAAGTTGTTCATCTCGCAATGTTTCGATAATTTTGACATTGGATTGCAATGTTTCGTCTCGCAGGCCTCAGAGAGGTGATGCACGTGTACGGCCTGCGGACTGTTCTCAGGTGGGGAAAAGTTGCAGCCACTGCCTTGCCTTGGAGAGCGCCGTGCAGGCAGCTTCTGCCAACGTGCTCCTGAGATGTGCTATCAAATGGTCTCACTTGCCCCCCAATCCTCATAGGATTGCTCAAAGGGAAGCAGACTCTGGACGCCACATCTTGCGCAGAGCAAGGTGGTGGCCAACATTCATGTCAATTGAGCACGTCTTGCAAAATTGGTGGAGAAAGAGAAGCAGGGGGGAAGGGGTTGAATCTTTTCCTGGCATTCTCAAGGTCTAGCAGACTCCAGCAGCCTAAAGTGAGTTTGTTCATACACTTTTCCAATACACACTGTTGCAGGACACGAGGACGGGAAGGCAAAGGGAGAAAGGGAGCACAGATTGAAACGGAGGAAAGGGAGGAAAGGGAGGAAAGGGAGGAAAGGGAGGAAAGGGAGAAAAGGGAGAAAAGGGAGGAAAGGGAGGAAAGGGAGGAAAGGGAGGAAAGGGAGGAAAGGGAGGAAAGGGAGGAAAGGGAGGAAAGGGAGGGAAGGGAGGAAAGGAGGGAAGGGAGGGAAGGGAGGGAAGGGAGGGAAGGGAGGGAAGGGAGGAAAGGAGGGAAGGGAGGGAAGGGAGGGAAGGAGGGAGGGAGGGAAGGAGGGAAGGAGGGAGGGAGGGGGGGTGGGAGGTGGGAAGGTACAAGGAAGGAGGGAGGGAGGGGGGGTGGGAGGTGGGAGGGAGGTACAAGGAAGGAGGGATGGGAGTGAGGGAGGAAGGACGGCCGAGTTGTAAGATTGGAGCGGTGTGAAACACTGTTCGGGAGTTCTGGAATTGAAGAAAGTACGAACATTTTTCCTTGGTAAATCCAATCATTTTTTTGTCACAGAGAGGGGCTGGCGGTCAGTGATTCTGCTGGCTCGAGACACACATGCAAGCTGTGTATGCGGGAGCAATGTTGCCCAGGAGAGAGCTGCAGCCATTGAGCAGGCAACTGTTAGCCCCACAGTAGGCTCGTGAAGTGACTCAGGAAGAGGAGACACCGAGCTGCATGGGTAGCATATGTAACATGTGTAGCCAGAGTGTAACCGGAGTGTAACATATTTGCCATATGTTTGGTGTGCGATTCAGCGATGGCTGCCTTCGTGAAAAGCTATGGCCTGCAGTTGGTAGACCGCAGTGGCAAGGAGTTCGACGTGCTTGGGGCTTGGCCGGAGCGAGGCTTTGGAAGTTCAAGGCACTCGGACTACTCGGACTCGGATGTCAGGCAGCAGCTCACAGCTGCGGATGTCATCGCGTTCTACTTCTCCGCTCACTGGTGTCCGCCATGCAGGACTTGAGACGGACACAACTTGAACGCCTTTGCAGAGCTTTTCCAGAGGAGCTTCACGCCTTTGCTGAAGAAGTTCTACGCTGCTTGCACAAACTTGCACAAACTTGCACCAACTCCCAAGTTGCATAGTTTATGCCAGCCCCGCAAGCTGTAATTGCAGTGTCAGCCTACTTGCAACTTGACCTTCGAGGAAACTCTGCACGCCCATGGTCTGGCACTTAGTCCGATGCAGATGTTCTCCGCACTCTAAAAGCAAAACTGGCAAAACTGGCCAGATGCCTGAGCAATTCAGAGCATGTATGACACAGCGACACATCAACGTGCGCGATGGAGCGTTGCGAAGCGAACTGTCCTCCCTCTGAGAATCGTGGAATGGGAAGTGCGAGGCGAACGCTCCTTGAAGATCATCTTCGTCTCCAGCGCCATAGTCCTCAGCATGCCGGCAGTCAATGAGCAGTTTTTGATCATGCTCGAAGCTTTCAGACCTTCATGTTGCAGGACCAGTCAGAGCATGACATGTGGAAGTACGTGCATCTCGGTCGCAACGACAACTTTGCCTTGCCTGTGGAAGTATGTTCATCTCTCCAGGTATGACTCACATGGTGGGCTGCTCAGCCGCTCGAATCATCTGTGGCAGTGTGGGGAATTCACCCAGGCGATTGGCTGGCGCTGAAATTCAGCAGTGAGCTGAAGGACAGGCTGTCGCGACAATTTCAGGCGGGCTGGAGAGCCGGGCCGGGGTCAGCCAGGGCAATCGGGTGGCCGGCCGGACCACTTGCTCTTTTTTGGTTCTGGCAGGTCTCTGGGATTCCCCAGCTCATCGTCATTGATGGCGTTGGGCGCCAGGCGAGGACGTTCGGCTTGAGGCTTGGAGCGGACTCAGACACCTCGGACGTGGGCCTTCTTCAGATTTTAGAAGCGGCATAAAGGCATTGCCGCACTCACTGCGAGGCACTGAAAAACCCTGCCTGTGGAGAGGTTGCCTCTGCCAGGCAGTGCGCGATGCGCGTGCAGAAGTTATGGCTGCCACATCATCTACACAGGTGTGCGGCTCATGTTTCAGTACCACTTGCTACTTGCTGCGTTCCCAATTGCGCTCAGGTCTTGACAACATACCTGGGCTGGAAATCTTCAGCTGGAGCATCTTCTGCTCCGCAGGTGAGATGAAGTTGTTGGTCTGCCGGACATGCACTTGGAAAGCTCCCCCCCGTTACCGTTTAGGAGGTTTCATCTGGTCTTCTGGCGCGAGAGACTCAGTTGGTCAAACATGCCGACTCTCACGTGCATGAGAAGTCAGGCCTGGAAGTCGTGTGAAGATCCGAGGGCTGCAAAGTAAGAGCCGAGCTTATGAGCTTTTGCCGCTCGGCCCAGTGCGTGCTGTCCAGGCCCGAGAACAACGGCCTGGAAGGTGTGGTGCAAAGGCCCGGTCACTGATCATTTGATCATTTGATCACTGCAAGTGAAGGGGGAACGAGGGAACCGGTCATGAAGCGACCCGTGCCAGCTTCGACAACTCCCAGCGCAGATATGTGGTCAACATCGCTGACAGGACCGCCTTTTTGCTGAGTGCTGGCTTGACATTGAACGGCAATCGGGCTCACATGTATGGCAACTGAATGGCTTGCTCTGGGCAGGGGATGCTGGGATTAAGTAAAAATTGCTTGGGGAAGGCCGCTGTCTTTGAAGCCTAGCAACCTGCCAAGCACTCAGAGACATGTATTTTTGTGGAAAATGCTACAAGAGACCAGGGAGGCTCTTTGCAGGGGCTCTTTGCAGAGGCTCTTTGCAGAGGCTCTTTGCAGAGGCTACATGTCTTTTAGACATCTTGTAGCCACCAGTTTGCCTCAGGCTCCAGATTGTCCAGCTTCGAGTGCTCCATGCACGCAGAGACTTCGCGTCGCATGCAAGTTGATGGAGGTACGAGGCCCAGAGCCTGAAGACCCGTGCAGCCGGCATGGAGGTTGCAAAATTTCGCACATTTGCTCCCAGTCTAACAGTAAATAGAAATGATTTGCTTTTAGATCCAAACACTTCCTGTCAGACTCTGAGGTGGCAGGAGGCAGAGCTCAAAGATTTAGACGAGGCGCCCATGAAACCTGCCACAGGCTTGACAGATGTCAGACGTCTGTGTCTGAGTCCAGGCGTCTGGCGAGTTTCTATGTGCCCTGCCTGATCGGGAGGCCAGAGCGAATTGGCGCTTCTGCTTTGGTGATTCCTTCTCGTTGCGGCATTTGCCTCGTTTGCAACTGAGCCTTTTAGTTCTTATCTGCTTATCTTTTCTTTTAGCTTATCTTCTTTTCTCAGGTTCGTTTGAGGTTGGGGCCGAGAGTCCACGTGAACGCTGGAGCGGTTGTGGCGGCTGGAGCCTCAGACTGTGAAATTGGCGCTGCTGGCCATGCCCTGAGGTGCATGGGCTGCAGAACGAGTCCGCGAAGCAGTGGAACGAGCAAAACGGAAAAGCCGCGCCTTCGGGCGTTTTCTTCTTTCAGGCAGAGACGTAGACAGGTAAGACAGGGCCTTGAGACAGGGCATGGTGAGAGGCAAAAGAGAAGTCTAGTCTGAACACAAGGAGCCCTGAAAGCTGAAGTCGCCCAAGGTCTCAGACTTCGATGAGGCCACACAGAGGCACGGCAACCAAGCTGACAGGAGCCTTTGCCGTGCTCTTTGGAGATGGACCCCGCGGCTATGAGCTTTGTGAGGGATGCCTAGGTGTGTGTGTGTGTGTGTGTGTGTGTGTGTGTGTGTGTGTGTGTGTGTGTGTGTGTGTGTGTGTGTGTGTGTGTGTGTGCAGCCCTGTGCCAACAGTTGTGCAACGTCAAAGCATATGTAGAGCCGGCAGTTATTGGCTTGTATTTTAACGCCTCCGGCTCAGGCCGCCGACATTACAGGCCTGCTTTCTTATTTGCGTCCCTTTGGAATTGTCCCCGTGCCCCCTTCCCCTCTGAGATTTTTGCCCCCCTTTGTTTGTTGAGATCCATTCCCCCTTTCCGCCCTAAGGCCTTGTCTTCCTCTGATTTTTCCCTTGTCCTCCCTAAGATGTTTTCCCCCTCTCCCTGTTGAGATCCTTTCCCCCCTTTCCCCCCTAAGGCCTTTTCCCCCCTGAGATCTTCTCCCTTTTCCTCCCTTTCCCCCACTTTCCCCCCTACGGCCTTTTCCTCCCCTTTTCCTCCCTGAGATCTTTCCCCCCCTCTCCCTGTTGAGATCCTTTCCCCCCTTTCCCCCCTACGGCCTTTCCCCCCGCTGAGATCTTCTCCATATTCCTCCTTAAGATCCTTTGCCCCCTTTCCCTGTTGAGATCCTTTCCCCCCTTCCCTTTAAGGCCTTTCCAGATCTTCTCCCTTTTCCTTCCTAAGATTGTTTCCCCCCTTTCCCTGTTGAGATCCTTCCCACCCTTTCCCCCCTCAGGCCTTTCCCCCCCTGAGAGCTTCTCCCTTTTCCTTCCTTAGATCTTTCCCCCCTTTCCCTGTTGGCCTTTTTTCCCCCAGATCTTCTCCCTTTCCTCCCTAAGATCTTTTCCACCCCTTTCCCTTTGCCCCCAGATCTTCTCCCTTTCCTCCCTAAGATCTTTCCGCCCCTTTCCCTGCTCAGATCCTTTCCCCCCTTTCCCCCCTAAGGCCTTTCCCCCCCTGAGATCTTCTTTCTCCCTTTTCCTCCCTAAGAGCCTTTGCCACCTTTCCCTGTTGAGATCCAGTCCCCCTTTCCCCCCTAAGGCCCTTTCTCCCTCTGAGTTTTTCCCTTTTCCTCCCTACGATGTTTTCCCCCTTCTCCCTGTTGAGATCCTTTCCCTCCTTTCCCCCCTAAGGCCTTTTTTCCCCCCGCGATCTTCCCCCTTTTCCTTCCTAAGATCTTTTCCCCCCTTTCCTTGTTGAGATCCTTTCCCGCCCTTTCCCCCCTAAGGCGTTTTCCCCCCCAAGATCTTCTCCCTTTTCCTCCCTAAGATCCTTTGCCCCCTTTCCCTGTTGAGATCCTTTCCCCCCTTTCCCCCCTAAGGCCTTTCCCCCCCTGAGATCTTCTCCCTTGTCCTCCCCAAGATCTTTTCCCTTGGTTGAGATCCTTTCCCCCTTTCCCCCCAAGATCTTCTCCCTTTTCCTCCCTAGGATCTTCTCCCACCTTTCCCTGTTGAGCTCCTTTCCCCCTTTTCCCCCTAAGGCCTTTTCAGATCTTCTCCCTTTTCCTCCCGAAGATCCTTTGCCCCCTTTCCCTGTTGAGATCCTTTCCCCCTTTCCCCCCTAAGGCCTTTTCCCTGCCTGGGATCTTTTCCCTTTCCTCACTGAGATGTTTCCCGCCCTTTCCCTGTTGAGATCCTTCCCCTCCTTTCCTTCCTAAGGCCTTTCCCCCCGCTGAGATCTTCTCCCTATTCCTCCTTAAGATCCTTTGCCCCCTTTCCCCGTTGAGATCCTTTCCCCCCTTCCCTTTAAGGCCTTTCCAGATCTTCTCCCTTTTCCTTCCTAAGATTGTTTCCCCCCTTTCCCTGTTGAGATCCTTCCCACCCTTTCCCGCCTAAGGCCTTTCCCCCCTGAGAGCTTCTCCCTTTTCCTTCCTTAGATCTTTCCCCCCTTTCCCTGTTGGCCTTTTTTCCCCAGATCTTCTCCCTTTCCTCCCTAAGATCTTTTCCACCCCTTCCCTGTTGAGATCATTTCTCCCCTTTCCCCCTAAGGCCTTTGTCCCCAGATCTTCTCCCTTTCCTCCCTAAGATCTTCCCCCCCCCCCTTTCCCTGCTGAGATCCTTTTCCCCCTTTCCCCCCTAAGGCCTTTCCCCCCCCTGAGAGCTTCTCCCTTTTCCTTCCTAAGATCTTTTCCCCCCTTTCCCTGTTGGGCTTTCCCCCCTAAGTCCTTTTCTCCCAGATCTTCTCCCTTCCTCCCTAAGATCTTCCCCCCCCCCCCCTTTCCTCCCTAACATCTTTCCCACCCTTTCCCTGTTGAGATCCTTTCCCCCCTTTCCCTCCCAGTGGGGGCTTCCCCCTTTTCCTTCCTAAGATCTTTTCCCCCCTTTCCCTGTTGGGCTTTCCCCCCTAAGTCCTTTTCTCCCAGGTCTTCTCCCTTTCCTCCCTAAGATCTTCCCCCCCCCCTTTCCTCCCTAAGATTGTTTCCCCCCTTTCCCTGTTGAGATCCTTCCCTCCCTTTCCCCCCTCAGGCCTTTCTTTTTGTGAGAGCTTCTCCCTTTTCCTTCCTTAGATCTTTCCCCCCTTTCCCTGTTGGCCGTTTTTCCCCCAGATCTTCTCCCTTTGCCTCCCTAAGATCTTTTCCACCCCTTTCCCCGTTGAGATCATTTCTCCCCTTTCCCCCCTAAGGCCTTTGCCCCCAGATCTTCTCCCTTTCCTCCCTAAGATCTTTCCCCCCCTTTCCCTGCTCAGATCCTTTCCCCCCTTTCCCCCCTAAGGCCTTTCCCCCCCTGAGATCTTTTCCCTTGGTTGAGATCCTTTCCCCCTTTCCCCCCGCGATCTTCTCCCTTTTCCCCCCTAGGATCTTCTCCCACCTTTCCCTGTTGAGCTCCTTTCCCCCTTTTCCCGCCTAGGCCTTTCCCCCCCTGAGAGCTTCTCCCTTTTCCTTCCTTAGATCTTTCCCCCCTTTCCCTGTTGGCTTTTCTTCCCCCAGATCTTCTCCCTTTCCTCCCTAAGATCTTTTCCACCCCTGCCCCTGTTGAGATCATTTCTCCCCTTTCCCCCCTAAGGCCTTTGTCCCCAGATCCTCTCCCTTTCCTCCCTAAGATCTTTCCCCCCTTTCCCTGCTGAGGTCCTTTTCCCCCTTTCCCCCCTAAGGCCTTTCCCCCCCCTGAGAGCTTCTCTCTTTTCCTTCCTAAGATCTTTTCCCCCCTTTCCCTGTTGGGCTTTCCCCCCTAAATCCTTTCCTCCCAGATCTTCTCCCTTTCCTCCCTAAGATCTTCCCCCCCCTTTCCTCCCTAAGATGTTTCCCACCCTTTCCTTGTTGAGATCCTTTGCCCCCCATCTTTTCCCCCCTTTCCCTGTTGGCCTTTTTTCCTCAGATCTTCTCCCTTTCCTCCCTAAGATCTTTTCCACCCCTTTCCCTGTTGAGATCATTTCTCCCCTTTCCCCCCTAAGGCCTTTTTGCCCCAGATCTTCTGCCTTTCCTCCCTAAGATCTTTCCCCCCCAGTTCCGTGTTGAGATCATTTATTTCCCCCGTTTTCCTTCTAAGGCCTTTTCCCACCCTCAGTTCTTCTCCATTTTCCTCCCAAAGATCTTTCCCCCCCTTTCCTCCCTAAGTCCTTTTCCCTTGAGATCTTCTCCCTTTTCCTCCCCTAAGATCTTTTGCCACCTTTCCCTGTTGAGAGCCTTTCCCCCCTTTCCCCCCTAAGGCCTTCGTCCCCCCTCCTTTCCCCCCCTTTCCCCCCTAAGGCCTTTTCCCCCCAAGATCTTCTCCCTTTTCCTCACAAAGATGTTTTCCCCCCTTTTCTGTTGAGGCCCTTTCCCCCCTTTCCCCCCTAAGGCCTTCTCCCTTTGCCTCCCCAAGATCTTTTCCCCCTTGAGATCCTTTCGCCCTTTCCCCCCTAAGGCCTTCCCCCCCCTGAGATCTTAAGGCCTTTTCCCCCCCTGAGATCTTCTCGCTTTTCGATCCTTTCCCCCCCTTCCCCCCCCCAAGGCCTTTTCCCCCCCCTGAGATCATATCCCTTTTCCTCCTTTTTCCTCCCTAAGATGTTTTCCCGCCATTCCCTGTTGAGATCCTTTCCCCCCTTTCCCCCCTAAGGCCTTCCCACCTTTCTTTATTGAGATGCTTTCCCCCCTGTCCCCCCGAAGGCCTTTTCGCACCCTGAGTTCCTCTCCCTTTGCCTCCCTAAGATCTTTTCCCCCCTTTCCCCCTTAAGGCATTTTTCCCCAGATCTTCTCCCTTTCCTCCCTGAGATCTTTCCGCTGTTGAGATTCTTTCCCCCTTCCCCCCTTCATTTCCTTCACCAGCATGGGCAGCATCCCCAGCATCACTTGCATCATCCGCATCCTTGGCAGGCGCTGATGCGGATGATGCAGTTGATGCTGGCGATGTGCCGCTGGAGCTCCTAAGGATGCGAAAGCGCACCCGGGGGGAATCGAACACCCCAATGTTTTTGACAAACTGGGTTGCGCAAGCCCGCACAATGAACAGATTTAGTGAAGCGTCTTCGAATCACCCCCCCCCCCCCGGGGAGGGGTTAGGGGAGGGGTAACAGGTAAAGAGGTAAGGAGCATTTTTTGTGTCCAACACGCCGTCTGTTGTCGGCGGATTTCCTCTGTGAGAGATTTGCAATCAAAGCGGATTTTAGTTTTCCGAGGTTGCGACGTTTCTCCACCGAACGGCCCTTTTGCACACCTTTCCTCTCCGCATGTTTTCTGATAACGGCTGGACATTTTGATTTTCGAGCTGCTAAGTGTACTACACTGGTACTGAACAGTTGTGATCTTCCAGCTGGAGCTGCCAAAAACTGTGCTTTGTGTACCTACAATCCTTACCTAAATCTATGCAAGTGGGCTGGCTTGGTGTTGTACTGATGCCATGACTGTGGAGCATGAGCAACGCGATGTGCACCCCAATTTGGCCGGCGTCAATACATTGGATGCTTCCCCACCTTGAATTCTTTGGTGCTCAGCCCATCTCCCAAAGACTCAGGCTGAGAGCACTTGCACTTAAGCCCACAGTGATTGACGTAAGGTACACCAATTCTCAACCTCAGGAAGTCTAAGTACATGCAGCTCAGGTATGACTTTTGCAAGGGGAGCACAAGCAGATAAGACACACGTTTGGGCCACTGTCTCCAAATATGAATTAAGGTGTGGACTGTCAAATCTTAGACCCTTTCTTGGGGGTAAATCAGATTGCACATTCGGGCAGACACGAGTCTGGTAGCACCGGCCAGACCCAAGCTAAACAATACCGGGCTTTCCGTTCGCTCAGCTCCCAACTCGTGTCAGACAAGAGAAAAGCAATCCAACTGGTGCCAACGCTTGCCTTGGCAGTCAGGTACAGCATCCTCATGAGCGGTGGTACATGCCTCAAGTGTCGAGCTAAGACATGCACTCCACCTGGACGGCTCACTTCAAAGGAACATGTTTTGAGCACTGAAGATGGAGACACACGTTTTCAGTGTTGGAAATGAGGTGAATTATAGTCCAAGTCAGACATCAGCTGTGTGTCACAATAGGCATTCGAACTGTATGGTTCTGCATGTGCTGCGTGAGCTTGACTGATTGCTTGCCGCATGAGCATGCCTGTGATTCAGCAGTTGCCTGTCAGACTCGGGTGGCCAAGGATCAAAGTGGATAATCTGAGGCTTTGCCCGCTGACTTAGTTTGCACGTGCTTTGCTGCTGTGCTCGGTGTTGCAAGCAGAGTCACATCCTGAAAATCGCACATAGTCTTTTGTTGGAGCCATCTTGCACCACCAGCGTAGCATCGTCCAGCAGAGCTCGCAATAGACCAGCAATGTTGATAGAAAGACAAGCGCCGAGCCTCACCAGAGCTTGATGTCAATGCAGCAGAAATGTTGTCTCTTGACAAGGGCCAGTTGCTTAGATTGAAGTCGGTTCTTTTCACGTTGGACGTGCGCAGCATAGGAGTGCCCTTCAACCCCCTTCCTCTTGGGGTGTTCGGAGCCGGGAGGCGCGAGAAAGGGAGCTGACGGTGTTTCGCCCTGTTGCCTCTCGCTGTTGGCAAGGCGCCATGGGCACCGTTATGGAAGAAAGGGTGAAGAAGATGCTGGGTGGCAACTTAAAGCCAGGGCCTCAGTGGTAAGTGATGTTTTCCCACTGAACAAGCAGACACGTTGAGCTACCATGTGCTATCTGCGAGGGCTGTGCACACTTTACAAGTTTACATCGCATTGAGGGACTGACGCATATGTCAAACACCCCAGCCCCCAGATCCTAGCAGCCGCCGAAAGATCCCTGACCTCGCACGCTGGCACCCCCGCATTCAGGACAAGCCGACCCTAAACCAACCCTCACCGAGACCAACTCTGAACTAACCCTCAACAAACTCCAGACTAACCCTAAACCAGCCTGAACCAATAAAAGACGTAGTCAGCCCACAGAAACCAACCCAAAACACCCGAACCAACCTAAATCAACCCAACCCTCCGCCAGCCCTAAACATGCCAACCAACCCCCACCCACCCACCCACCCACCCAACCAACCAACCAACCAACCAACCAACCAACCAACCAACCAATCCTAGCCCCAACAACCCAAATTAACCCCACACCCAGTTCAAACCACCACAACCGTACCAGGGCGGGGGTGGTGGACTTGTCTGACCCCTGTACCATACTAGTAACATGTATATCTCTCTGCCTGTAATTCATACATTGGATATGTCTTGATATTTTGGAGGCCAGAGATGAAGGCGCTCATGCAGGACTTGGGCCCAGACTTCAAGTTTCCAGAATGGAAGTGCGCCGACCTGACGTTGGCGCATGTTTGTTGCTGCATGCCTGGCACGTACAAGCAAAAGCATGACGGAGGTACCGCATGAACAAGTTGGACTCTTGCAGCAGCGAGGCGTTGAGCGACACCGTTGCAAGATGTTGCAACTCCAGTGTGTTGCCGCAGGGAACAACACAGTTCGAGGGTGTTGGTGCCGGGGCTGGTGCCGCCGGATATAGCGGGCTTTGGCTGGCATGTTTGTATCATTCAGATCCAAAAAGAATCCTAAAGAGTTCTCAGGCTTGGCGGCGGCGGAGCACAATCCAGGCGATCAGCACCTTGGCTCAGCCTCCTGTGTGACACACATCTCTCAGGGCAAATTCAAAACGTGGCGCTATGGACATTTTCCCAGGTATCTTTGGCAGGCACAATTCCCACGCAGTCACTGCTGCATGAATTAGTGCCTTCCTGAGTGGGATGGCGCTACATTCTTGAGATAGGACTGTTTTGCAAGTTGACCGAAGCCAGCATCCATTTTGACTCGGTGAAAGGTGGGTATTGATCGAATGGACAAAGTCGCCAAACAGCTGGACAAAGGCGGCCGGAGTTTCGAATGACCCGAATGCTTGTATTTGATTGCAGGAACTGACATCAATGTTCAGGACTGCATGGGTCTGGCTCCTGACTGTCTCTGCTGCCCACTGCCAACGCCACTGCTGATGTGAGGTGAGACGCCATTGTTCTGGGCGGTGACGGGAGAGGTCAGTGGCACAGACATGGTCGAGCTTTTCCATTCGAAATCGAGGCCGTCGACTATTTGGTTCGCGAGGGAGCAGAGATTGAGCACCGGAACTCGTGCAGAGCCCAGGTATGCAGGTTCACGAGAACGGGTAACTGAAAGCAACTGATTGGGTTCGCTTGGGCGGTTGACAGTTCGCTTGCAACAACATGAAGGTTGTGCGGCTGCTCTGCTTTCTACAAGTTTGCCAGCCAGGTTGGCCTTTGTGTCAAGCTGATGAGAAGCTGAGCTTGTTTCGCATTCGATGTGAGCGGTGCGGGTCTGTTTGGGGTAACCCTGGCAGGGCCAACACAAGACTTTGAAGGCCTTGGCCAGGCATCTAAAGAAGGCGGGGAGGAGGCACGTTTTTTGCAGCCGTGCGCATGGGTGCAGGCCGGTGTATTGGACAAGTACGTAGATGTGCAGGGCTCAGCAGGGCTCGGTAATTTTCGAAGGGCGCCACTTGAGATGCAGCTTGGCCATGTCACAGAGTCACCCCAGAGGCTCTCGATGCCACGGCGCATGCCGCGTTCCTGAGGAAGCATCTTCCATTACTCAGAGGAGCCCGCTGCACGCAGCGGCGCACAATGGCTTCGTGCATACGGTGCCAGACGGGCATTCGATACGTCGTTTGATCGCTTCATCGTGTCAGCGCTTGTATGTTTCGGTTTGGACAGTGTATTGCTCAGCATCAGTGTTTGAGCCCTTCAGGTGAAAGAGCTTCTGTCGATGGGGGCAGACAAGGACATGCAGGACAATGATTCGATACGTACAGTTTCGGGCAAAATCAAGATTGACGCTCAGACATGTTCACGCCACCAATGCAGAGCTGATTTTGGCAAGCGCCACACAAGACGCAGCAGGAATCATTTACCATGAAGTTGCCACACAAGCCGTATTGATGAGTTGCTGTGCCTTTGAGGACTACTTGGGCAAGACTGCCCTGGATCTAGCCCGAAACCGTGGCTTCGAGGAGGTTCTCCGATGTTAGTGCCATTGAGTTGCAGAAGTCCCATTGACAGGTTGTGACGCTGCTGGAGTGAAGGCGGGTCTTCTCGAAGAAACAAGCGCGAAGGATGTGATACATTTGCATCGCATACGGAGCCAAAGACTTCGGTTTGCCGCCGTTGCAGCTCTCCATGCCCAGTGTAGCCAATCCTTGCAACGTTGCTGCGTATGCAGCCATCGCAGTGGTCCTCGGTTTTTCGGCATCGTTATTGCTATCCCGAGCGAACGCAAGAGCAACCCATGGCCTTTTGCCCGCGCTTTGCGACTCGCTTTGCTGCGCGGGCGTCGCCCTCGGTGAGTCGCTTTCACGGAGGCGACCTGTGCATTGACCCAAGGCGCACGCCATGCGCACCACGCCGGTGCTAGGCAGTTCACTTTTTCGGGCGATCGGTGAGCACCCTCCGCGGAAAGTCGGTGCACGTGTCAAGTCACGGGGTGAGCGCCCATTGCATGGCGGCTCAAGGGACTGCAGGCGAATTAGAACTGTGCCATCAAGGCTTGGCAGATTCAAGTCTTGATGACCAAGTCGGGGGGAATAAGTCGGAGTCCTTGACCAAGCGCAGACTCTTTGGGACAGCAGCACGATGACAGCAGCACCAGCATGTTGTGCATTTTGTACCATGTCGCTTGCAAGATACTTGAGAGCTGCATTGCTGACTCCTCATTAGCCGACTGGCATCGGGGCTGCTGGCAGCTATGCAACTTTGGCGTGTAGGCAGGGCTTCCTCAAGCGCACGGATGATGCTTCTGCATTCAGTACTCTCACTGTTTTCTGTCAGAATTTTGCGGGAAGGCACCGGATCAGATCCATCCTGTCAGGTTGTGGCTTGTGCACTTGCCTGTGGCCCGCCGCGTGGATCGCAAAAAAATGACACTGGCAAGAAGCCGTGAGAAGCCACTCGAGGTGCTGGCTGAGACTCGAGAATATTTGGCCAACAGCTGGAGCACTAGCTTCTACAGACCACACGATGTTCAAATACGCCACGTAGGTCTTGTCAATGCGACTCGGCTGCACTTGCGCCAGCGTGCAAGAGATATTGGCACCGCTATGTGACGCTTGAAGGGTTCGGAGAGCTTCTTCTTTTAGCACCCTGCACCTTTTGGCACTGCTGAAGCACTGAGGAAGAGACAGTGTACTTCGCCACTGCTTCGGGCGTGTCCATGCTGCGTGACGGCCTTTTGACGCCAGCAGTGGAGCTGCATGATGCCGCAACTGGGCCAAAGTCTAAGTAGTGGGAAGTAAAGCCATGCGTGTGCCGCGCGATTGTTTGGCACATGAACTTGGGATTTGTTACCAAGGAGCTCACTGCTTTCCATTTATGTCATCACCGCAGTAGCATCTTCTACGAGACGCTCTCCAAAGATGGCGGGGTGCTGACCGTGCACGAGTACAGTTTGCTTGCCAAAGAGTCCGTCAAGGCCGGGTGCAGTTGTTTTTTGCAGGGTAGTTGCCGAGTTACCCTTTTAACTATGTTTTGATCCTCACTTAGGTGGCAATCTTCCAGGAGACAGTGCCTGCAAAAGCTCTGGCATGTGTGGATCATCTCCTCTTGCGAGCCTCACGTGCTAATCTGGTGGCTGTCAGCCTCACACATGACGCAGCCTGGAAGCAAGAATTTGAATTTGTCGCGTACACTTCTGCCTTATATTTCAACGCCTCCGGCTCAGGCCGCCGACATTACAGGCCTGCTTTCTTATTTGCGTCCCTTTGGAATTGTCCCCTTGCCCCCCTTCCCCTCAAAGATCTGTGCCCCCCTTTTCCTGTTGAGATCCTTTCCCTCTTTCCCCCTAAGGCCTTTTCCCCGCCTGAGATCTTCTCCTTCCTCCCTAAGATCTCTTCCGCCCTTTCCCTGTTGAGATCCCTTCCCCCTTTCCACCCTACTCCCTTTTCCTCCCTAAGATCTTTTCCCCCCTTTCCCTGTTGAGATCCTTTTCCCCCTTTCCCCCCTAAGGCCTTTTCAGATCTTCTCCCTTTGCCTCCCTTTCCCCCCTTTCCCCCCCTAAGGCCTTTCCCCCCCTTGAGACCTTCTCCCTTTTCCTCCCTAAGATCTTTTCCCCCTTTCCCGGTTGAGATCCTTCCCCCCTTTCCCCCCCAAGGCCTTTGTCCCCTAAGATCCCCCCCTCCTCCCCCCTAAGATCTTTCCCTCCCCCCCCCTGTTTTCTGTTTTTCAGACCATTGATCTCCCGCAACATTTGGCTCAAGGGCCCCTTTTGTAGATCACAATCATCCGAGCGTGTGACAAAAGAGCCTCAGCAGACCGCGTACAGGATTATCCACAAGACAATCCACCAGGGACAATCCATCCTCCAAACATCCATTACTGGCATATTGGACTCTCTCCGGAATAGATCCAGGGACCAACAACGACCTCAACTACCACAGGGTTCCAGTTCCCTCCGGGGATAGGCACCTGGGGCAGTGGGCCTCAATTCGTGGTAGCGGAGCGGGTTTTCCGCAGAGATCCAAGGGAAGATGTCATCAGATGGAGAAGGCAAGTTCGGCAAAGCCAAGCTATACGGAGGAAACACTAAATTTATCGATGACCGCCAAGCAGCCGCCATCGTACGACGGAAAAGTCAGCTGGCTCAGGTATGAAGAACTCGTGGACGACTGGGTGACCATCACCACAGTAGAAGCAGCCAAGCGAGGTCCATTGCTTAAGAGCAGACTCACTGGAGATGCTTACATGTACAAGGCCGTCCTCCAAAATGACCTTTTGCAAGATCCTGATGAAGGAGTCAACTATTTCAGGAACACGCTGAAGAAGTACTTTTTGAAAGGTGCGACCAACGTGTATCTGTACAGACTCCTCAGTTTCTTCAACCACAGAAGGCAGAACCAAGAGTTCCTCATTTTTACCTCAAAATTCGAAATCCTTCTCATGAGATTGAAGGCAGCATGGATGGACTTGATGCCAATCTTTACGGCACAGTCTCCATCATTTCGACAGTCCGTACAGGACGCAAATGCAAGAACAATTGCTCGACATCAGCAAGCAGCCGGTGCTCGAGCACCGCCTCCAGCCCTGCTCAATGAGGACGATCCTACAGTCCTCAGACAATATATCCAAGGAATGCAGGACAGACAGCGGGACGCATTTCCCTTCGGGGATAATCTCATTGCACAGTTTTTCATCATTCAAAGTGAGTTGTCAGATCAACAAAGAGAACGACTCACAAGTGCAATGTCATTGAGAAACATCTCACTCGAGAATTATTCCTATGAGATGCTGAAGACGCACTACCATGAACTCTTCATCACAACGAGGACATCGATCCAAGATCCATCCATCCGACCTCAAGGAGGCAACCGAAGCAACACATTCTTCATCATCGAACAAGGTGAATATGAAGGAGAAGAAGGCTTCTGGGTTGAGGATGAAGAAGGACTTGAAGGATTCATGTCAAACAACGATGAAGAGACGTTCTGGGTCCTCGAGGAGAACGATGCGTTCATAGCAAGAAAAGTGTCGGGGCGGAACTTCAAGTTCAAGAAGAGAAAAGGAAAAGGAAAATCAGGAAACAAGAAGGGCAGTCCCCAACGAGGTGGCTTCAAACCCTTCAGAAAAAGCGGTTCTGGCGGAAAGGCCAATATGGCCAACGAAAACTATGATCCCTACGACCAGGCATATTGGGGAAAAGGCAAAGGAAAGAAGGGAAAGAAAGGAAAATCAAAATTCCAATTTCCCTATGATGGAAACAAAGGTTATCCATCCTATGAGAGTGGCAAAGGAAAGAGCGGACAAGAAAAAGGAAAATCCAAGACGTTCGCAGCCACCGCAGAGAAGACGGAGGAGCAGCCCGCCATCCAGCAGACTGCGCCATCCATAGAGCCTACCTATGCCGGTTGGACAGACCAAGATTGGGATCAATCATGGACATGGAACGAACACGGCTGGTACTCATCCCATGAGACATCCAGCACAGGACAAGCGTTAATGGCATTCCATGATGCATATGAGTATCCTGGGAAAAAGGCCATCCACGAGAAGCTGATCCAATCAGATACAGTTTCAGAACACAATCTGTCCGTCGCAACAAATCACAGCCTTTTGGCAACAAAGCTGATGGCGCCTGTCATCAACCCTCAGCACAACCCGACCTATGCGATTCTGGACAATGGATGTACCAGATCTATGGGCAGCTGGCATGCAATCCAGCGTTTTACCCAGGCAATCGAACCAATGAAGGACATCATTTCCTATGAGTGCATCCCGGCCGAGACCAAGTTCACTTTTGCAAACGGAGAGACCGCCAGGGTAAATTGGACCCTACGTCTTCGATATCACACAACTCCTCCGTGCAGTACCAATATCGACGTCCTTGAACAAGGAACTGTACCGATCCTTCTCAGCATCAGCCAGATGCGGAACCTCTACATGACCATCGAGCACACACCTCAATGTGATAAGATCACATGCAAGGCCTTTGGCATGAACCGGCAAGCAGTTCCAGTATCCGGCACAGGACATGCGCTCGTCGATCTCGCTGGAGTTGCAAGAGTGAAAGCACATGGAGAAATTGCTGACAAGGGCCTCACCAACTATGTCTATGACGATGATAACAGCATCAAATTTCCCTCCAGGAATCTCACAAGGAGCGAAACTGTTTGTGCAGCAAAATCATCCGAGACAAAGGAGGACCTAGCAACTCCTAAGATCATTGGGTCTCAACAGCAGGACCATTGGATCCTTGACAAGAAGAACAAGCAGCTCATCCGTGTGCGCATCACGCCCCGAAAGGCGTGTTCACACCAAATGGAGCCAAGGAATGTCCAATCAATCCTGATCACATCAGCCGAGAACGTACCACGGAAATCATTGATGCATCCGCAGGTGGAGATCCAGATATCTTGGAAGACAATTGGAGACTTACATCCCAGGCAAATAAACCGATGATTAACCTGTGGAAAGGTAAGACCATTTTCACCTTCTCGGACAATTCGCTGAAGGACGTAGAAGCAGGTTCAGGATCGGCAGCAGACAGGATCATCGATCGACAAGAGGGGCCAGTCGACTATTGAGCCAGATCCTTTCGCACCATCCTCAGAAGAACCAACATCGCTTCCGCTTGCCTTAGGCAGAATCCACAAGCGATTGTCAAATCCAGAAGAGTTGAAGAAACTTCACCTGCAGCATCATCACATGACAACAGATCAATTTCGATTTAGAACCCGAGCGCTTCATTTGCCGAAATCAACATTCGATCTACTTGACAAGACCCGAAGTGAGTGTGAAGTTTGCCAAGTGGCAAGACATGCACCATCACGAAGCAAGACAAGCGGACTTCGAGCGGACACCTTTGGTGACATGACATTCATTGATCACTGTCAAGTTCCTCTTGGAACCGGAGAACACATCATTGTTTTTTGTCATCCTGGATGGAGCAACAACATTGCTCACTGCAGAGGCAGTGACAACTACGCAAGAAGTCGAGAACATCACTGTCCTCAGGAACTATTTTGACCAGTACCACTTGCAGCCCAAACCAGTTGTCGCAGATCAAGCCTTCATGACAGATACATGGGAACATTTCTATCAGTCCCTTGACATCACTCCGATATCTTTGGGACCGAATACACCATGGCCAAATCGAGCTGAAGCAGCAGTTCGACTCCTGAAGGCACAACTCAAGATCATGCTGAGTTCCATCAAAGCAGGCGCTGCGCCTGCAACACTGAAGAAAGTGACCTACAGGCAGCTAGTGAAGGCCGCTGCAACTGTCAGGAATCAGACCGTCACCTACGGGGGAGTAACACCGTTGGAGCTCGCATTCGGAAGACGACCAGCAGATCTCATCCAACTCGATGTCGCAACTCCAACTCAGTTGACGATTGACAGGAATGAAGAAGAGACGACAGCCATCCAGATCGAGCAGCTGTCAAAGCAAGCTTTCCAAGAAGCGCGTCAATCCGAGGACATCCGACGAGACCTTGCTCAAAATCTCCGAATGAGTTCAAAGCCTCTTCAGGTGAAGGACAAGGTATTCTACTGGCAGGAAGACAAATCCAAGATACGTTCCGATGGAAGCAAGGGAGGAATATGGCTAAAAGGAAAAGTCATTTCCATTGAAGGAGCGATGGTAGGACTTGATCTTGGGACTCGACTCATCAAGGTTAACATGACGAAGCTCAGGAAGGATGAGACCATCCCTCCGGGGAAACCCGGAATTGACCTTCTGTTACCTGAAGAGCGAGAATTCTTGCAGAAGGAGCAACCAGGCTCCTCTGTAGATACCAAGAAAAAGGAATCATCCGCACCAGCTCCTAAGCCAAGATCCTCAGTGCCATTACGTATCGCGGGAAAAACAACTCCAAAACCTGCAGTACCTCATCCAGCAGAGAACATGTTCGTCGAGGACCTCACATCCATTCCTGAACAAGCACATTGGAATTGTGTACGTAAGGGAAAGATCCACGTTCTCGAGATCTTTGCAGGAAGTGCCAGATTCAGTCAATGCTGTGCACTATCAGGTCTTAAGGTTGGGACTCCCGTGGACATCCGCACAGGATTCGATGTAATGACATCCAAGGGACGACACATGGTCATGGCGATCATCAGGGAACAAGCACCTGATGTCATCCTTATGGCACCGGTCT